CTGCCCCAGGGCATGGTGGGAAATGGCCATGCCAGCTCCCAAATGCAGCTGCATGGTCTAAAAGGAGCCCAAAGAGGGCATGAGGATTGGGCCCAGCTGGCTGGGAAAACCAGGGCCATCCCCAACATTTTGCTGCCTGAGGCAAAAAGTTATTTTATTTAACTGTAATAATCTTTGAATATATTCACGAAGGCTTTCACGACCAGGATCAAATGGTTGTTGTGAGTTTTTTCCCACAACAGAGGACAAAGTGCTGTCCTCTGAAGATGCCGGCCACAAAGATTGGCAAAACGTTAGGAAGAACAACTTTCAGGACACGGCCAAAGAGTCCGAAAAACCCACAACCAGAAGCATGTTTGTTGGGGACATGACAGAGTGGTTTCTCTATGGCTGCTCCCAGCTCTGAAATTCTATCAAGAAGGACATGGCTGGTCTCTTCCCTGTTGCCCTTCCGCCACCCCTTGTTATTCCCATTGTCCTTCAGCATTTAAACTGGCCTATTGTTGGAAGGTTTCATTGGCTGCCTGTTCTCACTTCCTTTTATGCACATGCCTCATGAACTGTGTTTGAATCTGTTTTTTATATCTTAAAGGTATTTGCTATTATTTGAATGTACTCGTGTCAGTCAACTTGAGTGTCTTTTTTGGCATAAAGGCAAGATTTAAAGTACATAACTCGTGTGATGATAGAGGCCTCTTGTGAGTGTTGTGGAGGTTGTTGTGATGAGGTCCCATACTTCAATATTTGCCACTGAACACTCTAACGCGTCTGCAAAGTAGCACAGAATCCAGTTCATGATTTACATCTGCATAGGCTAAATGGAGTAGCTCACTATGGTGAATAGCTACTAACTGCCACAGTGCCAGTGGTGGTATGAGACATGGGCCCCAATGCATAACAGGCGCATACCCAGAAATGTGACTAATGCCTTGGTAGTTAGTAAAATTTCACTGTGGTGAGTTACATAATTTAACCTGTGCATGCTTAAGAGACCAACAGGATGCTGGCTGGCAAGAAGTTTATGAAGCCTCTTCTGGAACTTCGGAAGCCTCTCTCCCCACAATAACTGCTTGTAGTCAAAGCACAATGTGGGGTGGAACTTAGTGGACAACGTTTTTAAAAAGCCAGTGAGGAAATATTGTGTGTGTCCGCGTGCACACGCGCATGCACGCTGTCTTGCTGTTTGTTGTGGGGAAGGGGGCACAAAATCCAGAGCTTGGATACTGTGATGATCCTTTATCCGGGCTCTTCCCTGGTCTAAAGTACCACTGCCAAGAACTGTGGTTGCTTCAGGGCAGGAGTCATACAACCCCAGCAGCAGAGTAAAAGACAGTGTCCCCCTTGTGTTGCCTCCAAGTGATCAGAAGGTCTGAGATGCATCCTGAGTTTTTGTGCAGGCTGCAAAGGAGAGATCCAGTGGCTAGAAGATTTCCAAAGCTCTTGTCGAATCTCATGTTATAGCCTGGCTTGTCTAAACCACAAGGTTTGCTAAGTTTTAAGAAGGAAGAGCACTGGGGCAGGGAGCAATGCCAAAAAAAAAAGCTTTCCACTGTGACCAGCTGTTTTAGAGGCATGGGTGAGAGCAGTCTTGGCATGTCTTGTCTCCAGAGCATTGTTGTTTATGCAGCCAGAATGGCACCAACCATACAAGGGACAGAAAAGAAAAAAGTTTCTTCTTCCACCTTGTCTTCAGCTCAGTGTCCTGGAACTTACTAGGTCAACATGGATGAGTCTCCATGGATTGGAAGAGGTCAACTAGAAATCCATCCATCCATCCATCCATCCATCCATCCATCCATCCATCCATCCATCCATCCATCCATCCATCCATCCATCCATACATACATACATACAATTTGACAGCTTGGCTTTGCGGAAAATCAGTGAAACTTTGCTTGAGTGGGGCGGGTTTCTTCCGTGGCTACTGCAGCCCCCCTCCCCAATTAGTAGATGATTCCTCAACTGCCATCCGGTCTCTATGAGAAGCCAAGCTTGCTGCTGCCCCTGTTTTACTTATTACATAACCATAGACTTTTGGTGGCACTTGTCTGCTCTGCTGAGAACCACGCTTTCCCTTTGTCAGAGGTGCAAAACACCATACAATAGGACTTGTCCCTTTAATTCGGTTGTTAGGCTTTTGTGCCTGCCGTCTTCCCCCCTGGGGGACTCTCCTCTCTTCACTGCTGCTCCCACAGAGAGCAGAGAGACCAGTTCTCCTCCTCCTCCTCCTCTGCGAACAAGTAGCTAGTCCTTAGCTGACATGTTATTCCGGTGAAGCTGCTGTTTACGTCCCTCAGACGGTGAGGCAGGTGAAACATTGACATGCATTTGTCTGGTAGCTTGTGTACAAGAGGGCTTCGCTAGTGCATCTTTTTTTTGGTGAAATGAATACGATCATCTGAAAAAATCCTCCAGCTTCTCTACCTTTCTGACAGGCAATTTCTCTTCTGTTTCTCTCCCCCCCCACCCCCCGTTTTCTTCTCTGCCAAGGAAAAAAGGAAAAGGCAGACAGAAATAGAAGGCAAGAGACAGCAGCTCGAGGAGCAGATACTTCAGCTGCAGCATTTCAAGGTAAGGACTGGGAAAGGGAAGGGCCGGACCTGTTTGTTATTAGACATGCCGATCACACATGGGAAAACTGGGGGGGGAACCTGTTCCGACATGAAGCAGCCTGCACTGCCGGAGCCTGCCTCTTCCAGCTAATCAGCTCCTTGGCTGGCTCTCTTCTCTCTGTGTGTGATTCCCATTTACAGTACCACATTCCTCAAAAGGAATTGAGTTGTGGTGGTGGGGGGGACAATACATAGCATCTGTTGGCAGTCGCCACATATGTATCATTCTTTTTCCTCTCCTATCCCCCCCCCCCATCAGATGGAATGGATGTGGATTTGGGTGTGTTCGCTGCATTGCTTAAATGGTTCCTTTCCGGCTACACAATTGCTTAGGCTTTCCTGTCTCTTATTACAACAGTATTTCATCTCTATATGTGTGTGTGTGGGGGTATGAAATAGAGAATGAGAACGAGAGAACGTGCTTCTCTATATGAAGTTATTCGGTCGAAATATATATTCAGAACTGTAGAGGTTAAAGAGAGGTTTGTTCTGTCTTGAGATATATAAATGAAAGGATTCAGGACTGAAAACTTCGAACACTGTGGTATATCTATGCTGACCGACCATACAGGTTCATCAGGTATCTGTGTATAAGCACACCTTGCTTACCAGGATTTCAGCAATCCAGATTTTTCTGAGCATCAGGTGCATCTTGAGGGAGGGAGAGAGCTAAGTGGGTGGAGTGTGCAAAAGGTGTCAGGCTGGATCCCTAGCCTCTCCAATTGAAAAGATCAATGGGCAGATGATGGGGTGAAATATCATTGCCCATTTTCAATCCCTGGTGAGCTACAGCTTGATAAAGGACTATTTACCTCATATAAAGGGGCATCCTATGTTTTTATGCCTTGGTGTTTTTTTCCGTCTACCTTCCTGATAAAACCAGAATTGATCCCGAATGGGAATCTGATACTGTGGTTACTGATGAAAGCTCAGCAGGTTTCATCCTTGTCAATAGGAGGATGGGAGACAGCCTGGAAACCCTACACAGAATGTGCTGAGCTTCCCAAGGAAATGTAGGGTAGAAATGTAAATACACACATGCCTACATCAGGAGAGGGAAACTTGGAGGATATCCCCTATGCCCACAGAAGTGGTTGATAGCTTCAAGCAGCTCTATTTTCATAATATTTATGCATATAATAAATGAACAGTTTTTACACAGATTTATTCATATAAATTTTCCCATATAGAAGTATTTGTTCTGTTATTCTTATGCCATAAATACTTGCATATGTATCTTTTGGGAGAGGGGCATCATGTGACGTTGACTACAGTGGTTATATTTACCTGCCCAATAATTCACATTTGCACGGGTGGGGGACTTCTTCTTGTCCCACCACTGAGGGCGGGGCACAATGTAGAAATATAGAAGAGGGATTTCTCAGCTGTGGCACCACAGTTTTAGAAAGGGGGCTTCCTCCGCTTGGAGGCCTTACTCATACTAAGATTGGCTTTATTCATGTGCCAAGTTAAAATCTGGCTATTCACCTGATAATTTGCCAGTTAGGGAAATCACTTCCAATCTTTTAGTTTGCTGGTTGTTTCCTTCTTTCAATTATCCACTAGTTCTGGAGTATTTTAAAATGCTGAGATTGAGAAAGGTTCTTTTTATGTGACCTCACTGATTGCTGTCCACGCTGAGATCTTTCAATACAGAGTAAGTTAGAATGCTTACATACATACATACATACATACATACATACATACATACATACATACATACATACATACATACATACATACGCACGCACGCACGCACGCACGCACGCACGCACACACACACACACACACACACATACACACATACATACATACATACATACATACATACATACATACATACATACATACATACATACATACATACATACATACATACATACATACATACATACATTCTGGAATGTGTCCACTTTTAATACAATTTCAGCAAGAACTGAACTAAAAATTATCAGATATACTTATACAAAAAAATCCTCAGATTTTTTCCCCTTACTACCACCAAACCTAGAAAAAGACCACTTTCAAGAATTTCTGTCAAAGATGCCCCTGCCATTTTTGTCTCTTTGTTTTTGCTCCTATTTGGGGGGGGGGGTGAATTGGTGGCAGCTGCTCTTTCATCCCCATAGAACCCCACCCCCAGAATAATCCTAAATCCAGAGTGAAATAGGGAATGCTGGTGTTTCAAAGGAATTCTTGATTTCTTGGTGAAATTCCGTGACCCAATTTTTCTGCTAAAATTTGATGGATGCTTTTTGTCAGGCTGAGTGCTACAGAAATAAACTTCAGTGGCCTTTGTGAAACTAACAAAGCCACATGTTGTCCACAGCAGTGGTTCCACAACGTTGTGTCCCCAGATGTTCTTGGACAGCAACTCCCAGAAATCCTGGCAAGCACAGCTAGTGGTGAAGGCTTCTGGGAGTTTTAGTTCAAGGACATCAGGGGCTCAGGTTTGGGAATCTTACAAGATTTAAAATAGTAGTCAGTGCCAAAGCCATTGCTGCTGCTTCTTTCAGTGGCAACAACAAGGAAAGGAAAGGAGAAAAAGGAATTTGTGGCAGAGAAGCAGAGATGACACTGCTAATGCCGTATGGCTCCTATTCAACCAAAAGAAACACTGGAATAATTTTTCTTCAGCTGGAGAAATTTGTTGAAGAAATTTGTTGCAAATTCTCTCCCTTCAAATAGGAGGGAGAATTTTGAGAGGCCATGTCACACAGCTCTACTTCAGGCACATTAATTTTTATTTTTATGAATAGACTGGGCTGACAGCCTGGCCCATCATGAATGTTTGATGGAGAGGAACAATACAAAAAAGATTAAAATATTGCTGCTCTTCGAGCCACCACACTTTCCCTAACCTACAGTATTTCTGATCATCAGAGCCTAATTGAAATAAAACCATTGTGTGATGGACTCTGGAAGATTCAAATTACGTGCTATATTAAATTTTGGATCCAGCCTCTTTCTTCTAGGAACAGAAGGGATTTCTCAGAAGGCTTCTGAAAAGTGGAGCATTTCTTTAGAACAGGCCAGCACCATTTATTTTGACACAGTAGCCAGGAGTCCATTTCAAGCACTAAAAATAAAATAAGATAGTAGGTGACTAATAGTTTGATGCACTTTTGTGACATGCAAAATCTGCTACTAGGGGCAGCTGCCTCAGTATGCCTAATGAAAAGGCCAGGCCTGCACTTATCCTCGAAAGTGGGACACCTTTTGTCAGAAGAGTGTACACTTAGGGCTCCAGGAGATAGGGATGTAATTTTCAGGGTTTTTTTTTCTTCACATGGAAAGAACTACAGAATTGTTCTGGTTCTGGTAAAAAAAGTTTCTAAGAATCTGGCACTTCCTTTATTCAGAGTATAAGGCAGAAAAACTTGTAAGCGTGGAGAGATCAGCCCAGTCTCATCGAATCCTCTCTACATGCACACATAATTAGCTGTTTGTGACAGAAAAGTTGCCCTAGATATATTTTTAGGCAGAAAAAGTACCTTTACCAACAGTTACCAGCTTGTAGTTAAAATCAGAAGGAAAAAGACAGTAAAATGTAGTTCCAGACATGGAGAGAGCACCCATGCTTGGTTCTCAGAGGATGATCAGGGAAGAGGAAGAGAAGAGGGCTATGAATAAAACTATAGCATTCCAGATTAACAGCAGGAAGTGGCTTGTCTCAAATGCCAGGGATGGGAAGAACTTTACCAACGACGTTATAGTAAAGAACAACCACTTTTGGGCTGGACTACACACTAGGACCAAAAAAGGCCAGACTTATTCGATTTGGCCTTTATGTCATTTGATCAGTTAAAAAAAAAACAAGAGAGAAGAAAATCCATCTGTTTATACCCACAGCGAATTCCCATTATTTGACCCATGTAGTCACAGCCTTAGTCTGTGACAGGGCACAGTAATCTGGGGTGCTCCAAACAAGAGAAGGAGAACAGAATAAACTATTTTTCATTGCCCAAGATGGCACACAGCACTTTGAAGACCTGTTCCTGACTACCAGGAATGTTATACTTGAGTGGGAAATGGTTCAGACAAGGACAATTTCTCACAGAGGTCACCAGGAATGGGGAACCTTTGATTTTGCAGGTGCTGTTTGACATCAGTTCCCTCCAGCTCCCACTAGTTACAGCCATTAGTGAGGGATAATGGGGGCAGTAGATCGTCAGTATGTGAAGTGTCCACAGGTTCCTCAGTCCTGGTATACACACTCCTTTCTGTTGTCCCCCTACCTCTTCTAATAAATAGATCTTAACGTGACTTGGTTTTTTTAAAAAAGAAAAGAAAACACACAGGACACGATAGTCTGAAAAACTAGTTTTTCATGGATAGGAAACATAATGATTTCTTATTCCAGTCACCTTCAGCACTCTGAAACCTGTTGCTTGTCTCCCCTCTCCCTGTGTTGTTTGTATTTTGTGCCAAAAAGAGTGGGGGGGGGAGAGGGAGAGGGAGAGAACCTTGTAATTTTTGCATAGAATGACAGGCTGTACAAAATACAAGTCTTTGCAGACAATAAGCAAAACATATTCTGGGAACCCTGTTATTGCATTCTCTTTCAGTGGTGTAAGAGAAACGGTATTAACTTGTAGCAGCAAACTGCTTCATACTAATGAGTTACTGGTTGTATTCCAGCATGTGCCCCTGACTGGTCAGGCTCTCAGGAATGCAACCTGCACCTTGTTCATGAGCAGAAATTTGCCATAAGACTTGTGTGATTTTCCTTACATAAGCATGAACTGGTAATAGTATTCTGGCCCTTGTGCCAAAATGTGAGAAATACACAAAAGTTCTCATAATCTCATTCTATTTGGGAAAACATTTGAACTTGCTACATTAAAGAAGGGCAATCTTATTATTCCATGATAACCCAAGAGCTGCTTATCTTACCAACAAGTGACAATTTATATCTCTGTTGTCACCCTAAATTTGGAACTAATGACTATCTCGAGA